CCCGGGGGTCCCGCCGCCTGCCCGGGGTCCCGGCCGTCCCAGGCCCGGCCCAGAGCGAAGCCCGTGGGGCTGGTTGTGCCGCCCCGCAGCCCGGGGAAGGGCTGAGGTGAGCGCTGAGGCGCGCGGGGCCGCTCCCTCCTGGCTGAGCGCCTTGGGCCCCGACCCTCCTCTGGGTCACGCTATGTCCCTGAATTTGTTGGCTTAAAATAAGAGTTTCAGATCTGGGGACATGACGGTATTTTTATTCCTCTTGCCCGGGGCTTCATTTAAAGAAGAAACGAGCAGGACTTGAGGGCCAGCAGCAGACCCCCCTGTTGGAACGAGGAAGGCCCTCCTGGGCAGGCCTGGGGGCTCTGGCTGCCGGGTGCCTCTCACAGACGTTTGGCTTAGAAATTGGCTTCGTTTCAGTTTTTTCTGTTGCTTCTCAGTGTCCACTGTGGTGCTGGGTGCTGTAAAAACATCTTGCAAACTCTTGATACTTGGTCACCCCCCATTCGGTTGCAGGCCCAAGCCCCCCAGTTGGTTCTGAGTGACTGGGTCCAGTGACACAGACTGCAGTGCAAACACCACAGCTTTACCCTTGGGTGTGAAAACAGTATGAACTGAGGCAAAAAAACAGTAGTAGATGCTCAGATCTCTCCTTTCCATCTGACAGGGTGGGTTTTCTTGTGTTAAGTCGGAAACTTAACTCTGAGAGACTTAATTAATGGAATAATTCTTGCCTTCAGTGTGAAAATAACAGCAGGTGTGACAAAAAAGAAAATGAAACCTCCAGTAGTTTCGACAGTATTACATGTGGGGAAAAAAAGGTATTTCTTACTGTATTCTACTGATAGATAAATAACTGGATTTTTCTGAACATTTCTCATTTATTATCTACAGTAATTTTAAAGATAAGTCATTATTAGGTTTCAGGATCCTGAGTCACCCATAAATGAGCACATTTATTCTCTCACGCGCGTTTGGCCAGCTCAGGTATGTGATTTTTTTATTGCTTTATTACATGGGTAATTACTTGTCATAATAAAACCATAACATGTAACTGGGAAGAATGTATGTTCTCCAAGTAATGTAGGTATATGTGTTTATGATCAGTAAGTTGATGTATTACTGGGAGAGGAGAAAGGTACATCTTAAGGGAGGTTTTGAAGTACAGAAACATGGAATTAAAGCAGAGGAACTTCCTTATTGCACTGAACTACTTAAAAAACCCAACAAACCTCTTTGTTCTTGCCTTCATGCTGGTAATTGGTCTAAAATATAACTAATATGGTTTTAGCTAGCTTTCCATGAGAATAAGCTATACCTTGCTCTCTTCCTTCAGTGGGTGACTATGGAGGCTAGTAAAACAGGGCAAGAATTCAAGCCTATTGCTTTTGCCCCTTTCTCCAGAATGGCTTTTCCCAGGTGGAATTTTTTTGTGCAACAAAGGCTGATGCTGGATGACTGCTGCCTTCCCGAGAGGCTGGGCTGTTCTTCAGCTTGAGAGTGTGCAGGATCAGCTAGCTTGTGGCAGAGCTGGGCACCTCAGTGCAGTTCAAACGGGTGTTTTTTGTCCCTAGGTTGAGCATCACATTTCTTGGTCTTCATTTGAACAACTTCCAGATTATAATTCCTGAAAATATGCCAGCTATGAATGTGTGTTGCACCACCAGAGCCTAAGTACCTGCTTTTACTGGTCCCTTGAAGCCAACCAAGCGTGGGCCCTCTTTGTGTTTGGCTGTACTTAAAATAGGAATACTTATGGTGTAAGACTTCCCTAGGGGTGTCATGTGGGGGGTTAGTTTTGCTTTTTATTTATGTTCCTTACCACTAAGAACACAAAGATGAAAGGTGAGTAATTCACTTGCTGATTAATTAGACTCTGAGACTCCGTGTGCTGGAAAAGTATTGGGTTAGTGACCCCGTGAGAACATACTTACATAAAGACTGGAGGAACTGAAGTGAGATTTACTTCCCTGGGAATTTTGTAAGAAAATTCACTATTCTATCTCTCTTTTTTTTTTTCTTCCAGTTGAGAAAGCCTTTTTTAGACAGTTGGAAATGTTTCATTGACTTTTATGGATCACAGCAATCCCAGGTGAGAAAACAGGAAGACAGGCCTGTGGAGGAGGAGAGAACAGATGTTTCTGCCAGAGCCCAACAGTCACATGCAGAGAGCACGGTAGGTTCCTCTTGAGCATTATTTGTCCAATGTCCCTTTTCACAAAAGCAGCTGTTTTCAGTCTGTGCTGAACATGGAAGCCAGTGCTATATTCTGTTTCCCATGGTGCTGGAGATCTGTCACATTTAGTAATGCCGCACGTTTCCAGAATATATTGTCTTTCATATGGTTCCTCTTCATAATGCCACAGCTCAAGAATGCTTCTAAACATTCAGGGAAAGTCTGAGTGATTGTTTTAAATT